AGGAACTGTCGATGTAGTTACGGCGTTTTAGTTCTTTTAATGAGTTGTTTTTTTTATCTCGTCCTGTACTGTTTTTTCTTTTGTACTGAATTATGCACGAATTTGATGGGGTTCTGCAAGATCGTGTGCATCATGTACATGTAATCACATTTATCCATTATTACCTTATCTGGCCTTGGGATTGTGATCTATGCTCCAATATCTCTGTGATAGATGCACCGAAGTGGTTCTGATAGTCATGAGCTCGGGAGGACATAGGTTATAATATGTCTACTAACGGTCTTGTGCGATTGGCCTATCACTGTCCTGAGTTGATGCGGAAACGGATGTGCACGCACCGTTTAAAAATCAAAATTACGGCTAATAATAAATCTACATTTTTGTTGGTTCCAGTGTAACTCTTGGAAAGTGCTAGCGTTTTCCCAGTACCTTTTAGTTGTGATTGTCGTTCTTTTTAAATTGGCTGATCACAGAATTCGTGCTCGTTAAGAGCTAGCTGAGTTTCCTCGGAATCGGATTTACCTTTATCCCATTACTTTGCGTCTTTTGGAGCACCGCCATGTGTATTGGTTGCTCACCGTCGTCGTGTCCCTTGACATATAAGGTGCGTTCGATTCGATGGATTGACGCCGCCTCATTTCAGACTGCCTACTTGGAAAAGCGCGCCCTAGAAATATGCAGATATTATAATGGCACCATATGCGCGTAGTTCGGGCAGAGTGATGACATGATAACCTGTCACCGCTCTCTATATCTCAAACAATTTTAGGCAAGGATGACAGCTGTCACTGTTTTTTTCTAGCTTCGTTCTCATCGAAGTTATGGATACTGTATTCAATGGACTCTACGTAGAATGGGTTTCTTCCAGATGACGGATTGACTTTGGTATGTGGATGCTATTACTCAAATCTGTGACGGCTTACAAGTGTGCCAAACACACTAGCACCGCCTGTAAATGGTTCTGGTCGGTGGTTTTCACCTACTGAAATCAGTGTACTTCCTGGATTAGCGGGAACCACTCCCTGCGCTGAACATTGGTGGAGATCGGCTGGGTGTCATTCACTGACTCAACCACGTAGCATCTTTATCAGCATCGGTTTAGTAAGAATGAGGTCGCGAACCGTAAAGCACATAACCGCTGACGTCGCATCTAGCCGCCGTTGGACCCGTAGTCTTCCAAGATGAGGACCCAAGGATGGGGAGTGCCAATGGCTTAATACGCTTGGAGACATGGCCCGCAACAGGAACCAGTGGAAGAAGTGTATTTATTTACATGTTCAATACTCCAATAATTGAAAATGATAAAAAAAAAATAGACATGTAAAAAACAAACTAAACATGTTTTGCTCTATTTTTGTCAAATGGTCCTCTTTTCCTGTGACACAGTAGCTGAAGTGTGTTGCTCACCTTCAACGATGATTATGACGCGGCGACTCTGCCCTTTATCGGCTAATCTCCATGGTTTTTCTGGCTCCATGTCTAGGCCGTTGCGACGACTACTACTTTGGAAATTACTACTGCTGCTCTAACGATGGATTATAAAGGCAACGCAGGTCGTGGAGAGAAGGGATTCCGAATCTGTTCGAAACAGCCGTGGAGTATTTTTATATCATCAGAGCTACAAGATGCAAATCACATGCCATCTGACAAACAAGCTGTGAGTCAAGCGTGGTAAAACCACCACCAACCAACACAAACGATTGATAGAGCATCCTGCTTTTCGACGGGACTTTGTCAGTGAAGATGTCATCCAAATGTCGGCCAGTTGCCCAATGGTATGAAGCCACCAGTTAGAATCCCTGTCCCATGTGCGACCGGTGGTGGTCGCGTGGCAGAGGACTGTCGGCACAGTGTAGCAGTGATATTTGTTTAAAGATTCAGCCATTTTACCGAAGAAATATTCATTTTTCCAGTCCATCCTCCGCATTTACCAACATTTACTTTTCGACAAGTTCCGTTGGCATATACACATAGTGCCCAATGCACTTGCTGTCAGGGTTTACTTACGCAAACCATTCTACGTGAAAATTCACATATTTCCCAATTGTGGTACATAAGCAAAGCTGGACTGCGCTGTAATCACCTTGGCCTAGCTAGTAAAAGTGCCTGTCTTTGTTCTTACTCTTTTCTGGATTGGGTAGTCGCGTGTGAAGTCTGCGTTCGCTTAGGAACCCGTTCAACATGCGTGTAGAACCGTGTTGCGTCTAAGTCTCCGGGTGTGCGAATTCGAATTCTGTCGGCTATCTTATCTGTCCCTAGTCTGTTCAGTCAAATAGTAGTCGTGCCAGTCCGTTATACGGGTGCCGTACAATTCAGTCCCTAGTCTGTTCATCAAACTAGGAGTCGTACCAGTCCAGTAGACACATGACGCGTCTAAGAAGCAGACATAACAAAGTGGCGACGGGGATGGAATTTATAGTGCTCATGGGTGGAGTAGCAAAAGTGTCGAATAGGATGTCAAACGGAATTGGTCAAAAATTGACATCCTGCACTAAGTTCGCGTGCCTTAGGCGTGACTGGTTGCGATGTCGACTCCATGTTTCATCATTTACCAATACATCGTAAAGTACTCGTTCGCGGGGCAGTGAAATCCGCAAGGAAGCTTTGCATGATAGCCAGCTGTTTGTGACGGTATGTTGTCTACACAAGGTGTAGACGCCTTGACCCTGAATGTTTGCTTAGGGTATTACGGTTTTCCTTCCCCCTTCTCTCCCTCTTATCGTTCTTTATCTATAGGTCATCATGGTTGTATAGCAACGAAGCACCAGTTCAAATGGCTGATGTACTGCTTTTGTTGATGATACTCGTCCGCGGCGAGCGGTAACAACGGATTCAGCCCATTCATTGTATCCCCGCCTATAATCCAGGTGTTCCATTCGTGAAGTTACAATGATCTTTAGTTGCGGAAGGCAGTGATTCGCTCCTCAGTATGAGGGCGTCGTGCGCTGTACAATCTGCGGCCCATCAGAGCTTCGGCTGGGGAACGACCATCGAGCATCTCTAAGTTGGGAGTAGTTCCATACACAAACGAGGAGACTTGTATTATCTCACCGGTAGTCCCATCCCCACGCGACTTCCAGAGTATTCTTTTGAAAGTATCGACAAAGCGCTCAACTTGACTATTCGATTGTGGGTGATAAGGCAGGGCTCGTATGTGTTGGATGTTCAGACATGAACAGAAATCCACAAATTGGGCTGAGTTGAATATGGATCCATTGTCTGTAATAATCACGTCTGACAGACCGTGATGGCTGAAAATGTTTCGAAAGGCGGAAATCAGGCTAGTTGTGGTCTCTGGAATGAGCGCTTCCACTTCTGGCCACTTGGAGTAGGCGTCGAGATGACGAGGCACGACACCATGTCGATTGGGCTAGCAAAGTCCAGGTAAAGCTGGGACCATGGATCTCGAGGTGGTTGCCACGGAATTGGCTCTTATCTGGCGGGTACTTTGGCGGCTTCCTGACACTTAGAGAACACACCAATTGTTGTACATCTTCATCCTGCTGATGCCCGGATGACCAGAGATAGACTGACGGAGAACAGCTGTTCGGAGAGAGGTTGGTATTACCACTCGGTTGGCGAACACAAGACAAGTATCAACGTTGGACAAAGACTCGCGACGACAGAAAGGCTGGTGAGATTTACCCGCGAGTTTTTCCAAGGCCAGTGCGTGTGGGTAAAATAAATGGCACGATGAGAACCCCGATCGTGCGCGGTTGGGTGTTGAACGTCGGCAGCGATAACTGGAATCGCACAGACGGACCTCTTCCTTGACGCATGTAGCCGCAAGCACTAAGTCATCTTCTGGTGCCCATTGTTGCTGCTACCCAGTCCAAGCAGAAATCCCCATCGCCGTCAGCCAATGTTAGCCACACCAGTCTGAAGTAATCTCCATAGGCCTGTCGTTACTGTGGTTCGTGGCACTGCAACAAGTTCTGCCCGTTCGAACCACACCGTTGCCGACAGTGTCACGTAGTCGGACATAAAGAAAGTTTCTGTCAGTCAGAATTGAAAAGTGTCCAGAACCACGGGACCGAGTTACTCCCCGGTGACAGCCATTGACTTGGACTATGCCGATGATATCGCTTCGATAGAGCACGATCCAGACTACCAATGGCATTTTAAATCGTTTACAGATAGATTAACCTAAGTAAGCGTTGGATCCTTTCGCACATGAATGCGGAACTCCGTTTCAGTTTGTAGACGCCTGTGCCTGTACTCACGATTGCAGGTGACTATCTGGAACGAGTCGATATATTCACTCATCCGGATTGAATGAATGAATCACCAGCTGTACGCCGTGACAGCGCTTCGCTGTCACCCGACCACCGCCAGTCGCGCTTGGGCTGAGTATGCCGCGGGGAAGCCCGCTCCTACGCGGATTCGAATCGGTGACCTTATGGTTGCAAACTAGGCGTGCAGACCACTCGGAAACTGACCAACCATCCGGGAATTGCACCACCACCGCTGATGATGGTATTGGGGTTCCACAACAAAATGCTAAGGCCACGTAGTATGTGTTAACCCGAGACAGCTACGGCGGCATCGTGATGTCAGTCGCAATCGGTACATTTGTGAGATGTGGCCTGTTCGCTCAAATATGACATAACTGCTGGTATTTCGCAATCGAAGGATTGGTCGCATGTGATGTCTCATATTGGATAGAAACTGGATCCGGAACATCATTGTTCTACACCGCTCACGTTCACTAGAGCACGATGACCTTATCGTCGCGCATTGATATGCGCTTGTTGAATACTGTTGGAATATAGCACGTTAGACAACCAATGAGATAGGAGCACGAAGAATGTGACGTCACGTTTAGCATCAGTTAGATCTGTCCGTTTTCCAGACTGGGACCACGCGACACAGGATCCGTGGCTTGAGGTTTTCCATGTTGTGGCTCGTAACAGAAATCACTGACACAAACACTGTTCTACCATTTTTTGTTAACTAATGTTTAACAAGGAAATTAAGACATCACATGAGAAACCAAAAGGAACAAGCCTCTGTTCCTGGCACCCCTGTCAATCTTTTGATGAAACACTTGTCCGAACTGGGATGCATATAATAATACGGGTGGGGAGAAACTGACGTTACAATAAATCATAAAGGACTCAAGTTTGTGGGAACAAAACGCCTAACAGCAATCTAGGTGTAAGATTTCAATTTGGACGTTTTCCGCCAACAAATTCCACTGGCGAGATGAGGTGAAGTTACACAACAAAAGTGAGTTCGTGTGAGGTCATCCGAAGACAGAGTGGATTGCAGAGTACAATCACAGTTCACTCAAAATGCATCGCTTCCCACAGTCCATTGACGGGCAGTGGGTAATGAGAGGCGCATCAGAGCTTCATTCGTAGTAGCGACCAGCCATAAGAATTTTGAAGGTAATCAGTGCATTCACCATGTAAACAGCCAACGCCAGAAACAAAAGAACCTAAAACGGACAATGAGAGGAGGTTAAGGAAGCTGCATAGATGGTGCCATCGGTGCTCCGCGACCAGTATGAAATAAGGAACAGGTTTTGCTAGTGCGTTTTTGAAGGTGAAGAAGGAAAGGAGATTGTGCGGCACTAGTGCCAGTGTTAGGCTATTAGACACCAGCTGTTCAATGCAATTTAGTGACATTTCACATCACTGTTTCTGTCCATGGCCATCTCAATGCTTACAGACAAGGGACGGTAATCGTTTTCTTTGATCTCAGGATGGTGTAGCTAACGGCAAGTGTGAATGTGCCACGGTCAGCTACGTTAACCAAAAGTATATGCATCTTTAACGATGGAAGATCCGGTCTCGCTACTAACCAAATGGGGATTCCACAACGGTGCGCCAACAGTGCTATCTACATCGACAACACCGTTTTCCAATATAAACTGCGCAGCAAATTATTTGAAGCCGATTTCAACCAAGTGTCATATTACCATAACCTAGAAAAGTGTACGATAGTCGATTTGGGACGCTAAATGATCCTAGTTATGACACAATGCACGTCCACATAAAGTTCAGCCTCACTATTTCAGAGAATTGTCCGGCTTCGTTGTTAGTTACTCGTACTCTGAATGCTAACATGTTACGAACAAGGGCGATGAGCAAGCGGTCAAAACAAACCGTTACTAGTGCGTTACAGAGAATGCACATTATGTTAGGGGCGTTTGAATGGCGAATCGAGTTCTGAAAATTCGGCATGTTCGCTTGAAACCTGAAAGAAAGTGCAGGATGTCCGCAATACCCTGATATGGTGACTGGTGAATAGTAAGGACGGGGAAGATTGGGAAGATGTGCTGTCCGTAACATCTGTGTGTTATACCTATGCATTCGAAGTACATAACCAAAAGGTGCCTAGGCCAAAGAAACAACGCACTGGAGCGAAAGGATACGCTAGGATTCAATGATAATATCTGCAAGTCTGAATACCTATTACTCTAGTTGACGGTTGAAGTCCTAATTGATTATCTGAACTGATTGATTGCAGACATTTCGCACCAATCGAGACGGCATCTTTAGTGCGTAACAGCATGTTTCTTGTTAGCAGGCACTGCGCGTAGAACAAATCCAGAGTCGAATGCTATTGGCTACGGGGCTGTCCTTCGTATACATTCCCATTGCTCGTAACCACACTTCACCCGGATCGATTGACCTTCTGAGCACTCTGGGATACATGAGCGACATGTTAGCTGGTGTGAAGCTTATTGCGACTTAAAATGATTTCTTGCGATTTCATTGGTGCAGTTGCCATGCCGTCTACAGGACACTGTTACGACTGTCGTTCTGCCAAGTCGCTGGTCTGTGTCGGCTCAAGCTACGGTTTCCGATCCGTTTCATCTTTTTTCAGTTATCTGTATATATACACAATCAGGGAAAATCCACCGTTACGACCAATCGTGCCACTTTCTGGTACACCAACTTGCAATTTGGCTAGACAGTTAAGCGCATCAAACATATTACCAGCGGCCGTTACGCGCTGAAGATGTCACCTTGATTGGTAGAGAAAGGTCTCCAATCAGATTGCTCAGTTCGGAGAACCAATTAGGATTGTTCATGGACGTCATCACCTGCCAAATCACTTGGGCCTCTCTAGGATCCTGTTCTTACACATTTTATTTGAGAAATCAGACACGAAACGCGACGCATGACTACTTCGACCTCCCGGAGGACGGTGGTTAGTTAGCCATGACTGATATTTTCGTGACAGTTAATGGTGCGCTTGAGGGCATCTTCGAGACAGTGCGTGTTCGCACTCACATTCGTCCTTAAGAGTCTAAAGGGCAGTGCATGAAATCATAGTCATTAAGAGTATTGACATTGTAATCATCGCCCATAACCATCATACCGTGGCATTTTGTAAAACGAGAGTCGAATCGAGTCGCTGGAAGCCAAGCTTCTACCTGAGCACCCAGACAGTAACACACAGCGGTGACCTACTATGGCGAAATTTTTGGATCAAAGACATCAGATCTTCGTGCTACAAGTTAAACGGCGTCTCAGATGGCGAATAATTCCCGTGCCACTCAAGAAAAGTAAATACAAAAGACAAGCTCGTTTTCGATTATTCGTCATCAGGCTAAATACAACACATTTAAATAGCTAACATAAAACAGGGTACAGCAAGACCTAGTCGAAATGGAGTAGAAGGTTGAAGTGACAGTCGTGTTCCGACTTATTCACACGATTGTAGTGGTCACATGAAGTCAAGGGAGAACCAGAGTTCTCACAAACTGTTTGTGCACACATAGATGGGGGTGGTTAGGGCGGATTGCGATCGCCTTTACCATTGCAAGTATGCGGCACTTGATCAGTTTGGAGCGGACTCCCCTAACGCGATGATAACCGAGTGATCAGTATCGGCCAGATTGGCGACAATCGCAATGGTGCAGGTTTTGCCTACTCCACGGCCCAACCACCGTTGACGATAATCTTGTACACGTTCAGCTAAATGTCTTACGGTCGGGCCTATGTGGCTTGACCAGTGGCGTATCAACTACTTTTGTCTCTCGGGATGATGGTAACATTTTCGTCCCCCCCCCCTGGCAGCTGTAAATTTGTAAACCAGCAAAATCGGTTCAGGATATAGTGCAAACTAGTTCTCGATAAAATGAATGATCGTTTGGGACACTGAGGTAAACGTGGTGAAAGTGACTACAATGGGACAAGTAGGGGGATCACTGGGAAGAACGTTTGTACAGGTGTGACACATGGTGCAAAGGTCATACAGAGTAGCATTAAAATATTCAACCATCAGCTTGTCTGGAAATTTTGGTATTGAACAATCAACGATAGTAAAAATGCCGCCCGAAGCGAACCGCTCCACTTACTATAAGCCTGTCGCACAGGAACAGATAAATTGGTACAAACAAAAGCAGGGGGCATCTGTAGATAATTTATCCTTCAGCTATAAAGGTAGAATGGATGTGGAAACAAAGAAGATTCGTAGCTGTGCTGTGTAATACGTGTTCCTGAGTACACTTTGAGACTTCTACTAAGAGTTGTGGCTACGTTATCGCCTGAAAAGCAATGATAGAGACATGTGTTTCTTATCCAAAGTAGACATTCTAACACCTCACTAGTCAGTCAGTACGTTCCTATGAATAAATGGCTCAGAGTAGTCATTGTTAAGAAATAATTCCTTTATTTTAAAATGATTCTGTACAATTGTATCTTGCAAGCATATTTTCATTGCTCCTTGAGTAAAGCAACGGAACAAGTCTCACTTTTGCTGTCGTAGCACAAAAATGTCAAAATGGACATGTAGACCATTCCATGTTGACTTTCTATAAGTTTTGCGTTGTAAAGTTCCGTCTCGTCGACGCGACATTTAGTAAGGTTAGACCTTCATCCGACACCAGTTGTATGCTGTAGTCAATGATTCTATGTGCTTTATTGAATTTTCGTAGGAATTCCAACTGGTCTTATGAGTCGTCCGCCACGCACATCGTCAACATAGCGCCTATAAAGTGGCCATCGTTTAATCATTTCATTTAGTGCACGCTATTCCAGTTTAGGTATGAAAAGGTCGGCTAATAAGGGGCCCAGGGGTGAACCGGTTGCTAGTCCATCTTTCTGTCAAAATAAATGTCCAGCGAAACGAAACTGAACATTGTGAGTGTATTGACAAAGTAAAGACTCCACCTTCTCCACTGGTAAGCCAATACGCTTGCCATTCCTCTCAATGTATTCATCTAGATAGTCAACTGCCTCCTAACAACGGGGACATTTGTAAACAGCGAAGTGATATTGTTGCGGGCCCGTCAAAGATTCCCGCAAAAACGCGCCAGAAACCCCGGCAGAATGGCTATGAAAAGCGAGGTTCAATTCCTCCTAACAACGCAGCAGCGTTCAGCCACTCCGAGACGCGGCCCAACTGCGCACTTTTGACAATGGTCTTTCACAAACTACCAGCTTGTCGTGGTAGAAATTTTCCCTAACTTAATGACCCAAAGCACTGGCTGTGATTCGTCCTTCGTTGGTCGTAAAACAGGCTTCAGAGGACCGCCTGTCTCGCTTTCATCTTCGCCTTACTTGGGCGTCGGTCGGGTCACGTGGTTTTGTGTGCGTCGTTAGTTGACCAGCGTTCGTGTCTACTTCACGAGTGCGCGTCTATCGTAACCCCCTCTCGTGTGCGTCCGTTCTGAGGGCTCAGCGTCTACCCGAATACGTGCGGCTAGGATCGATCTCACGCTCGCTCAATTTCCGTCTCACCAGCGCGTACCCTGGGCTAACGCCGTCAGTTCAACGCAAATCTGTTCGATTGGCCAGCGTTCCAATCCGTTACCGTAGGCGTATTGCAATCGTGCCAGTGACAATCTTATCAGGCATCTACGCAATCATAACAGAGGCGTTCCTTCAACTATAACAGATATCAAGGGAGAACAGCTGTTTGCGCTTCGCACTTAGGTTTCTTACGGCGTTCAACAAAATCAAACGAGTCCTTTAAACTGTTCGTGGCTAATACCCGTCCAGTCGGTTGAAGTAAATCGGCCAGTCACTTTGCCAATGCATGTGATTTGGAGAGTTGCTCATGTCTAGAATCCTTCGTAAAGGTGCTCCAACTTTATATATTTTGTGTAGTCCATGTAGTCTCGGTACCACGGTACCGACTGCACGAATTGTTTCGAAAGTAGTCGTCGATGAAATCTTTCTGCTTCATATGCCTAAACGACTCAGATATGGATTTTTCAATAGTTTGCGCTTTGTCTTCATCCTTTTCGGTCTAGGAACTTTGATGAATCAGCAATTACCTTGTTCCTGTTCAACTTGCCGAACAACCTCGTGGTGCCAGCTGGGTGGTTCGGGTTATTTCTTTTTAGCGAATGGTTCGGCGGCAGTGTTCCAGGAGGTGGTGGGTTTTCGCCTATAAAAAGCCCCATATGTCCGTTTAACAACACCGTGGCGTGGCGGATGTGACTCACCACTAAATAAACTCACTGCCCGTTGCCTCTCT